TCACTTACATTCCTGTTGTTGTTCTCTCCCATCGCCCACGACAAGAAGGCCTTCGTTGCGAGATTAAAAGACCGAGCGAGTCGAAGAGTGAGGTCGGGGGCATCGCCCACAGACATCTGATAGGTTTTGTTATACCATACATTGAGATCGAGTCGACTCGGGCTGGAATCCTTGAAATCGTATGCGGCAACGACACCAGGGACATACTCTTTTGCTTCTTTCTTCAACTCCTGTTCACTAGGTCTAGCAGCGATGTACCGATTATACAAGAAAGCCTCCACGCTGCTATCGAACCCTTTCGTCGTCTTGAGCGCAGCACGACCACCTGAGAAAACCCCGCCAACGAAATCAAGATCTAAATATGGCGGGAAATAAATACTCTTGGCCTCGTAACAGCCTAACAGAAAATTCAGCTTCGAACCCGACTTCACGAAACTGACATTCCCGCCAAAATCATTCCCGCCAAATTGCGTCGGTCTAAGCACCCACGCGCTCTGATCACTACTGCTGCCCATGGCTGGCGATGATACCGAGGCTACCCCCCCACCGAATCCGGCGGCCGCTGAGAAGGCCAGACATGAATTGCTAATTAAGAAAACAGGGTCCCATTCTGCATCATCCCCGGTTAAGGCGGGGTCAATGAGGGGTGCACCCATGGTCGGTTCTTTGGCGGTTCCAGATACTACCGACATCCCACCGGCGGCAGTTGTTCCGTTAGGATAGACGGGGAGAATAGAGAGCAAGGCTAGCTCCAGCGCTCCCTCCTCGGTCCAATTAAACGAGGGAGGGAGGTGATTACTACTCTCAAGATTGGGAAAAAGACGACTGCCGATTGCTTCTGCCATAGACCGGTTGTTGCCCGTCACGGGAACTATCATAGCGAAGGGATCCATCGCCATCCCGGCTGTGACATTGGGAATCTGCAAGAAGGCAGGATTGAGAGGAGGGTCCTTGATAGCGCACCAAGCGGCTTGGTTGGCGTTGGAAAACTCGATGCCGCATTGGTCAGGATGATCTTCATTGCAACCGCATTTGAAATCGGAGCCGCCGAAGAGCAATTTGTCAAAGACAGCTTGCAAAGCAATCAAGATCAGAAAGAGGATGATGGGAAAAGAGACGAGACAGGCGTTCGTCTTCCACTGGCGGGCTTGAAGACGCAAGTTCTTGCGAGTCAGTGCGTTCGCCTGTACACCAAACGACGACTGCAAAGCCGCCTTCCTCTGTCCTACCGATCTCTCCAACCGCCCTGCTTCCCCTCCCACCACCTCCACCTCCACATCCATCTCTCTCTCTCTCTCTCTCTCTCTCTCTCTCTCTCTCTCTCTCTCTCTCTCTCTCTCTCTCTCTCTCTCTCTCTCTCTCTCTCTCTCAGTGGCTAGATCCCTCTGTGTATCAATGTATCAGTGCGTATGTGTGTCGATCGACGCAATCTTGCACCTCCGCTTACTACAACGACAATAAATAACGACACTGTCAGTCTCTTCCACAACACTCTCTCTCTCTCTCTCTCTCTCTCTCTCTCTCTCTCTCTCTCTCTCTCTCTCCGCGCACACAGAGACGCGTACTCACACACACAAGTGGACATGGAGATCCAGCCGCACAAATGTGGGCAGCAGAACGAGCGTCCGCATCTCCAAGGATCTTCCGAAGACACCCGCGAGGGACAGTCACTATCTCACAGAGACGATGAGATCACCGCCCTTCCTCGAGGCATCGATCGATCGAGAGGCGGATTTACCGATGCCCTTCCACTCTACTGCGGGCAGAACTAATGACTTCGCTATGTTCATTTACCAGTGACGCGCAAATTAACGGCTTTTCGAATTTCTCACTTACTAATCAATCAAGAGGTCGTCGTCAACACGCTCCCCGCCGTTTCCTTACCTTCTTCTTCCTTCTTCTTCGTTCTTCTTCCTTCTTCTTCTTCTTCTTCTTCTTCTTGTTGCACCGGCTACGCCACCATAGCTAGCACCTCCACAAGTGACAAATGGCCGGCGATCAATGCCCGCGCATGACCTATCGGAATGACACGTCCGCGGATGGATCGGAAAATACTGCGCGCCGCTGATCGCAGGGCCGTCCCCGCTGATTCAAATGCTGCCTCCACCGATCGGAATGCGCGCCCCAAACCCCTGTCGCTGATCGGGGAGGAACTCAATGACCGATGAATGAATGTTTCTTCTCTCCGAATCTTCGAATTCCAGTGTTTGACTTTTATACCCATCTGCGGTGGGCCTCTTTTGTAGCCTATCGGTGGGCCTCGCTCCATTACGCTCGAAATGTGCAAAAGAGTGAATCATGTGCTAGAACACTGAAAGATACACAGCCATGATTTTTTGTCTTTTGCGCATGACCAGCGTAGTGGAGCAACGCTCATCATCCTGAAACTGACAGGGCCCAGGTAAAGTGACGAATTCTGTTCCCCCCCTCCTTTTCCGGGGCTAGGTCCCACTAGCAAAGAGGATTGGATTAAGCTCCTGAATGTGGACGTGTTTTGAGAAGAGATGCAGAAAAGCAGTTGAATGTCGATTTTCCGCATCTTTCCGACATTCTTGTCCGGATTCATGCGTTCAATCCAATTCTCTTTGCTAGTGGGACCTAGCCCCCGGGCATCTTCTTCGGAGAAGAATGGAGTGTAGTTTCATGAAAAAAGAAAAAACGTCCTTCGGGACATCCGTTAAAATTGGAACGATACAGAGAAGATTAGCATGGCCCCTACGCAAGGATGACATGCATAAATCGAGAAATGGTCAAAAAAGAAAAAAGGGATTGTTTTTTTTTGTTTACCATTTTCGTTTTACGCGTGTCGTCCGACAGCATGCTAATCTTCTCTGTATCGTTCCTTTTTTAAAAAAAGAATACAACAAGAGGACTTTTTTCTTCTTCTTCTTCTTCTTCTTCTTCTTCTTCTCTCTTTCGTTTTTTTTCTTTTTTTTTTTAATAAAAACTCTTTCTAGGGTGCTTTTGGGACAGTGGGCGTTGGTTTTTTCATTTCCTCCCCTCTATAGTGCCTCGAGCCAGTAAACTCTTTTTTTTTTTTTNTTTTTCACAACGAAGAAAACTTTAACACCTTCGCTGCACTTACATAACGTATTACACTAGGTGAACTCTCGAAACCCTGGACATCTTCCTACTCTACAGAAGAGCTTCACCACTGCCATACGAGACAAAGTCTGACCGCCGGGACAGTAGGTCCACTCTTGAAAAACGAGCTTGTCTGCGGGCAACTCCTGAGGACCCTAGCAAATTCAGTTTGTGCAGGCGGGGGACTCTCGACATTTCGAGAGTTGATTTATAGTGTGGCTTCTGACAGCTCTCGATCGGGAGAGTTTCCCGATGGAGAGTAAGTGCAGCGATGACCCACTCTCGAAAATTCGAGAGTCTAGAGTAGTGCAGCGAGGCCCATTGGGTCTCGCTCCACTACTCTCGACTCAGGAAAACTTTTCGTGAGTCCTTCTAGAGCTGTCAGACGTGCAAAACTCTCGAAAAAAAAGTCTTGGCTCCACTTACTCTAGAAGGGTTTGCTCGAGATGCAGTGGCGGAATGAGACGAGCTCTCTGACTGCACTAAAAGACAGCGCCGCCCTGTTCTGATGGTCGGGACACGAGGCGCACTCACGAAAAAAATGGTTGGAGTGGGGGTACGAGGGAGGACACTGGAAAAGCATGTCGTGGCAGGCTGCGCACTCTAGACACTTCGAGAGTGCCCTTCAAGAGTGCTTTCTGACAGCTCTCGAAGGGCGTTTTCGAGAGCACCTATCTAGAGTGAGTGGAGCTAGGCCTTACTCTCGAAATTTCGAGAGTATAGAGTAGTGGAGCGAGACCCATTGCCTTGCTCATAAGCTAAACTGGCTGACACTGCCAGGGTAACACCGGGGGCCAAGTCCCACATACACCGTTGAGCCAGTTCAACGTTGAACTAGCTCAACGTGTGTGACTCCACGCAACGTCTGAGATGCATCGGGAGCTGCACATCTAGCGGTTGTTTTTAGGTGTATAAAATACAAAGACTTTCGTTTTTGTTTTTTGCTTCAAGAAAGGTGCTGAAGAATCCCTGCGGGCCTGCTCCCCAGTACAACGCCCCCTTCCCTGCCCATCTTCCCTTGAACTACATACCCCACTTGGAGTGGGGTATGGGTTCAATGGCGCTTGTGCCATCATGACCTTCTGTGGGAGGACACTCTGACAGCCATGGGAGGACACTCTGACCTTCTGTGGGAGGACACTCTGACAGGCGTGGGAGGACACTCTGACAGAGTGTTCATGCTGTGTTTGGCTGTGCAGCCCCAAACTCGTTTCTGTGAATGCACCAAGCCAGCAGTACTGTCTACGTTCGTTTCATGTTCTATTCAGTCCCTGTCTCGGACTTTGCGTAGTATGCAGAGCTTTTCACTGAGGATTGTTCTATTTTCCATTTTAGTATTTTACTTCTTAGAAAATACGGACATTGTCAAAGATTTCAGTAGCATTTGGTTATTCATTGTTTCTTGGGAAATAAGGGAAACGTTTCCGGAAAAAGCTTCCAGCAGCATTTGATTCTCCTTTTCCGCCTTTGTTTTGAGTTTTTAATTCACAAAAACTTGTGTCACACGGCTGCGTTGAGCTAGTTCAACGGTGCATGTGTCCCACAAGCACCGTTGAACTAGTCCAACACGACAGTGCGACTTGAGAACTCAAAAGAAAGGCAAAAAAGGAGAGTCAACTGCTGCTGAAAGCCTTTTTCCCTGTTTTCCAAAAACAGAACCAGCAACTTTTTTATCAGACAGCAATCAGAATGGGAAGAGTATTGCGATGAACCAGTCTGTATCTGAATGGAAGACTCTTCTGAAGTAAGGCAGGTAAAGTACACGGAGTGTAATTGAGCTCATTGGAGATTAGTGAACATTGGTCTTTGCTCACCTTGACAGAGTTGATGGTATAGAAGAGGGGATGATAATCATCCGTTTCTCCGGTCAGTAAGGATGAGAAGGAGAGTCCTGTGTCGGCTTTGGCTACTACCTTGTGAGGCGGTACATAGTTGCCTTGAACAGACTAGATGATTTATGGACCTAACAGAGGGAACATCTTGCTGAGAATGGGCAGTTTGATGCATAGCGTTGAGGTTTACCCATTAAAAGTTTTCTGCTGCCCCTTGGTTGGAGAAGAGGTATGGGTTGCGGCATGTGTTTGTACTTGATCTTTATGAATATGGGACGCTGGACCCGTGAATTGATAAAAAAAAAAAAAAAAAAAAAAAAAAAGCTGCTCAAAGCTTTTGTCCGCATTTCCTGAGAAAGAAAATGAAGAAATACAATAACCCTCAGTGAAAGGCTCCACATTCTATGCAAAGTGGGAAGCAGTGAATTCACAGAAAGTGAAATGAATGTGGAGAGTATCCTGGCTTGGTGCATTCACAGAAACGAGTTTCATGAACACTCTCTGTCAGAGTGTCCTCCCACGGCTGTCAGAGAGCCCTCCCACGAGGAGGTAATGATGGCACAAGCACTGTTGAACCCATATGTAGTTCAAGGGAAGATGGGCAGGGAAGGGGGTGTTGTATTGGGGAGCAGGCCCGCAGGGATTCTTCAGCACCTTTCTTGAACCGAAAAACAAAAACGAAAGTCTTTGTATTTTATATAAACCTAAGAACAACCGCTGGATGTGCAGCTCCCGATGCATCTCAGACGTCGCATGGGGTCACACACGTTGAGCTAGTTCAACCTTCAACTGGCTCAACCGTGTACCTCAGACGTCGCGTGGGGTCACACACGTTGAGCTAGTTCAACCCTCAACTGGCTCAACCGTGTATGTGGGACTTGGCCTTGGGAGGGAGATCCCACTACCGATGTATGTGGATTAGTGTATAAGCCTATAAGGTGTGTGACTGAGGAAATCAGCGGTAGCCTGTTTTTGTGAATTAAGAGCAGGAAAGGGATGTGTTTTTGTGCTCTCCCATTGGTAAGTTTTTCTTTCGTTTTTATTGTGGGGGTCCTGTGGTGGTCCCAAACGTGTGTGAAATCAAGACCAATTTTTTTGGTTCATAAGGACGAATGGCTTCATGGCTGGAAATTTTATTGTGGTTTGGGAGGTGTTTGTGAGGGTTCGATCTCCTCACCTACAGCAAATGGCGTATGGAGCTACTCTTGTTCTCCTTTGCCAAAGAGAATTTCTGCCAGAATTACAGAGCAGTGTGCACTGCACTGTGACCGCAGCCCATTTCATGGAAGCCTCAGACTATTGTCAATGAATATGTTCCGCGTGCCCACTTACATGCAGTCGTCTCAACTGCCACAGTCATGGTCAGTGAATCATACCCTGACATCTGACCCCGCCTGGAGCAGACAACATCCATGAGAAGAGCACTTTATTTTCCTTTTTAGCTTTTTTTTCTTCATTTGTTTGGCAATGAAATGTTTTTTTGCGTTTATTCTCCCCATTTCACGCTGCCACCCACCTGTCCCCCACCTGTCCCACACCCATCACACTAATCCATATACATGGCTAGTGGGATCTCCCTCCGGGTTTGCGCCTGCTTTCCATACCTGAGACTGCACAACCTTTTAAACCACCAGGGGAGAGATCCCACTACGGATATATGTGGAGTAGCAGATAGGGCGTGTGACCCTTCAGTGCCGTTGATGAGAACGGTCATCAGTGGTGTTTTTTTTTTTGGTTTTCGGCGTGAGGAAACATATGACTTTTGGGGGGCTCCCATTGGGTGGCATTTCTGTTGTTTTTGTTGCAGTGCTCCTCTGGGGTCCATGAACGTGAGTGAAAATCGTACCAACTTTTTGGGTTGGATTTTCACGCACCTTCCACTTACTTTTGTGTCGTTGCCCGTGCATTCAAAAGAGGCCGAAAATGAAAATGTTCCCCTTTTCTCATCATGAAGGGATGTCAGTTCGTGTCAGAGTCTTCCAAAACGTGTCTGTCATTCCAAGCCTCCCATTGGGGAATCGGAACAGCCACATGCAAGTGGACACTTTGCTTATGGGAAAGTTAACAAATGTGTGTTGGCCTCATGTACATGGTCCATGAACCGTCCACATGCACAACATACCAGCGGAATCATCAGAAGATCCACAACCTGACAGCTGACCGCAGTTCGTGGCGGGTGGACAACATTGCGTTGTCAGAATTGCGGCATTTTTTTTTTCCGACATTTATCGCGGAGTACAGGATGCCATAGGGATGTCGCCCGCACGTCCCGCAACCGTCACACTACTCCACATACATCGTTAGTAGGATCTCCCTCCAGTACTTGGGGTCTCATTAGACACTCCTAAAGGAATCCTAAATTATTTAGGATGAGTCCTAAAAGAATTTTAGGATTTGCTGAGGCGTTGTCGCACACAATCCTAAAAAACTTCTTTTAGGAATCGTCCTAAATGGTCTCCCGCGGCCAGTTCTCATATATGTATACGCAGCTGCGCCGTCGATGTCCGCCCATTGCAGCCTGGTGTCCGTGGTGCAGACAGTGGTGGTCCCTGCCCGGTTGAGGAGGGTGAGGTGGGAAGCGCGGGAAGGACGACGTCCGAAAATTCGAATTCGAATTTTCGTGGACGCAGGGAGGCAGGCTGGAGGACTTGCAGGTGACATGTGGGACGTACAAATGACGGCGGTGGTGATTCCGTTGGCGCCGAGCTCCATCTTTCGCGTCTGTGCGAGTTGTGAGCGGCGTGCGCAGTGCCGTGTGGGAGGGAAGAGCAGTGGGGTCATCTTCGGTGGCGGTCGCAAGCGTTATCCGTGAGAGGCGAAAGGGCGACGAGGATGGACGTTCGCGGCGGCGGCCCTGAGTTGCGTGAAGAAGAGAGGGAGGCGGTGGCGATGGCGGTGACTGTCTTGGTCCTTAACTCGGTGGGCAACATGTCATCCACGGAAAGCCAGAAGCGTTCCCAGTTGCGGAAACACAGAGCATTGTTGCAACGCGTCGTCGAAGTGTCGGATTGCATGGCGACGTCTGAAGCGGTCCTGGAGTTGTGCGTGACGCTCTACTCCGGCGTCTTCCCGCGGGAAACGCCGCGATGGTGGATCAAACGAAGGACTGGCGGAACTTGGAAGGATCTCTGGCTGTATGACGACGCGACGAAAGACTACTTCCGCGACAAGTTGCGTATATCCAGGGTTGTCTTCATGCAGATCGTTGTCTCATGTGCCGCTCACGTCGAGAAGAAGGTCACACATTACAGGATGCCATTGCCTGCGGAGGAGGTCATTGCTTTCGCATTGTATAGGTGGGCCTCCGGGGAGACGTTCGAGAGTGGCACGTTAGCCTTCGGCATCGGCAGGGCCACTGGACTGCGGCGATGTAACTTCGGCGCTGTCGAAGGCGTACCCCGAATCCATCAAGTGGCCTGTTGGGAGAAGGGCTCCGGAATCCCTAACTGCTTCGGCGCAATCGACTGCAAACACGTGTACAATGTACATTGACAAGCCCGCCAGCTCGCCGTCAGATAACTACTACGACCGCGAACAGAAGTTCTCCATTCAAGCGGAGGTGGTAGTCGATTTGGATCTGCTTATCCTGGACATCCACGGCGGATACCCGGGAAGTGTGCACGAGATCCGTGTCCTACAGAACTCCTATTTGTGGAGGCGTGCAGAAAGCGGCGAGCTTCTCGACGCCCCTCCGGAGAATCTGCCACACGGTGTTGTCACATGAGGTTACCTTCTCGGCGATAACGGGTACCCCGTTGCCTGTCCATGGATCGTCCAGCCGTACGAAGGAATCGAGCAACGTCTTGACGAGGAACGTTTCAACACGCTGAAGAAGGTGGCGCGGGGGTGTGTGGAGAGGGCGCTCGGGCGGTTGAAGTGCATGTGGCGTCTATTCTTGTGCACCCACAAAACGAACTTGGAGACCTTGCCGCATCAATTCGTCGCCGTATGCACTCTCCACAACATCCTCGTGGACGCGGGGATCGAGTTCAACGAGAACCTGCTGTGGGAGGTGGATGAAAACGGCGTCTGGTGTAGAGTGGACTTGGGTATGGTGGGAAACGGTGGGGGCGGAAGGCAACAAAGCACGAACGTCGACGGGGCCCTGTTGAGGGATCCACTTCGAGACCGGCTGGCTTTGATGTAGGCGCGTGCAGCTGCGGGATGTGGGTTGTGAAGAATGTGGGAGCGCCACGTTCGGTATGGCGGGCGGCACAGTAGGGTTCATGTCATCGATGATTAGCCTACCGTGGGATGGTCAGTAGTCCGCCCGTTCACACGCC